GACCTCTCGCCTTTCGATAATCGACACCCCCGACGAGTCGATATTAGATTTGCTTTGAAAACCCACCCCTTCGTCGTCAGCCTCCTATCGGGCCGGTATAAATCAGGCTGGCGATCTTAATAAATGCGCGAGAATCGTCTCGTGCGAGAGAGAGAGAGAGAGGGTGTTGAAGGTGCGTCGAGGGGGTGGACGGATCGTATGAAACGTCGGGGCGGTTGGTAGGCAGCTAATATCCTCCTGGCCGCTATCCCTAGGCTCATCTCAATAAATTCAATATACTTGTGTAAATCGGAACCCTGGAACATCCCTCGTCGAACAGGAGGCACCACCTCCCCCTCCACTTGCCGCGGAGATGAGCTGCTTGGTCCTTGCCTTCTTTCTCTCTTTCTCTCTCTTTCTCTCCCCGTCTCCTTCTCCCTCGTGCGAGAACCGACCGATAATGTTATCGGTTATTGATTACCCATAACGAGCCGATCGCTTTAATTTCTTTATTTCCACTCGGTTGAATCTCGATTCTTCACGTAATTCAAGGATTGAAACAGCGTTCTTGCGTTCTATGAGTCGTATTGTAAAATTGGATTCGTTCTTTTTCTTTTTTGTATTTGTTGAGAATTTTTTAGTTTCATTCGATAATTTTTTGTTTATAAGAAGAATTTGAAGAAAGTATTTTGCACGAGAATTTCGAAAATTGCATTACGTTCACAGTTAACAAAGAAGAATTTTCTCGCAGAAAATTACTATACATTTAATAAAGGAACAAATAGAAGAATAATTAAAATATACACGCTTTATATTTATCGATCATTTTATTATAATTTGGCCAAATCTTTGCCATAAAAATATCAGGCGACGATATACGGTAATTCCTTACCGATCAAATCGAATTTAAGCCGCCGTTTCCAAACGTTTCCCCTGAAGGCCTATCCCCTCGAGAAGATCCACCAACCTCGAACGAGCTTTTCATCGAGTCGTTAGTTAACGCGGCTCCGCTGCTTCTGCCACGAATTATCGACGACTTATCGACCGAGTAATGCCTCCTCGATCGTATTTAACCGGCGATATTAATCGATTATTGATACCACCCCTCCACCCTTGCTGTCCCCATAATTTCACGGATCTTACCTCTTCTTCCTCCCTTCCTCTTTACTCTCCCAACTTTAACTCTTCCCTCCTCCTGCGAAATCGTTACCCTCCTGCCGCCTCTTGTAATTCACCTTGTCGTCACGCCACCACCACGATTTTAACGAGGAGCCTACCACCACCATAAAGGGTTATATTTCGCGCGTTATCGAGGCGACGTCCCTTTTCTCTGTCCCTCCCCTTTCGCAATAGAGAAGATAGAGAAATATATACGTACGACCCGCGACGAGCTTTTCATCGAGCAGTTAGTTAGGAGGAGGCCGATCGCGAGGCAAGATAAAAGAATAGAAAAAACGTAAGAAAGAAAGAAAGAAAGAAGGGACGAACCACCCTTTTCTGCCGAATCGAACGACACTTATCGGCCACTTTTGCACGCCACCGTACAATCCTCCTCCCCCCTCCCCTAATGCCAATGGTGATCGCTACCAACCGATTACAGCTTCCGCGAATTGCCTCGTATTTCCTCCCCCTCCCCGGCTCCTTAACTCCTTCCAACCTCGTTCCACAGCTTTCTGAAAGTTTAAACGGAACTTAACGATGAAACGGTGGTGATCGAGTGGGCAGCGATTTCGTTAAGTTAAGACAGATAGCATGGAAGGTTGCAGTTTTCTTGTTTGCTTCACGATTTCTTTGAACAGCGATGGAAACAAAGAAGAGATGTTTCCAAGCGGGTTGTGATTTCTTTTATGCAAATTTTTGTGAGAGTATTATTTTAAAGCACACGAGTATTGTCGCAATTGTTAGATAAAAAAAAAAAGAAAGGAAAAAGAAACGAGAACGGGATTGTTTTTTTCGAAAAACGTAGAAAGGATCGATGATATTAAAATTGTATTATCCACATCGTGCGTACGATTTTTGTGGGCAAGAATTTCATCGGGTAAAATGATTCACCCCCTATCCTTTCCCCTCCCCTCTCCCTCCTGATCGGGACATCTTTCTTCGTTGCCTTGCTTGGTGGTAGCCCGGGCGAGGAGCCGCGATGAGATAAAAATAATAAATCATCCTGTATACGAGAGGCGAGACGCACATGCATTGCCGAATTCTCCGGTATCGCGGAGTCGATACGGAAATGGGTGCGAGAGAAGAGAGAGTGAGAGAGAGAGAGAGAAAAACATCTCCTAAGTTTCTTACTTTTGCTTAACGCATCGTTATCTTTTGTCGCCCGTTAAAAATTATTATTCGAAAATCAAATAAATTGTTTGCGAATAAATAAATTGAAAATTGAATACATAGACGAGACGATTTATAATTAATCTCCATTCTTCGCTATTTTTTTTTTTCTCCAATCCATACCAGTATCATTTACAATATCCTAAAAAAATCCCCTAACCAATATTCAATTTTATCAATTTTATTCAATTTATTTATTCCATTATTTATTCTTTCCAAGATTTTATAAGCAAGACTGAACCAAACCAAATCGTATCATCGTATTATCCCATATGAAATCGATATTCCAACTTCGAGTCGACTTGCCTCAAAGAAACTTACCCTTAACAGCGAACCTACGTTTTCTCTGGTTGTTAAAAGCGTTGCAGCATCACGTATCGGCGAGCAGACGTACATACACAAACGAGCGAGCTCAGCATGCCGATGGAGGTGCGCGATCGAACGGGGGAGGGG